AGGAGTGGCATGAAAGAGTCAAAGAAGCATCACCGAACATCATAGCTCTCACAGAAACCAAGCTTACAGGTATGATAACAGATGCCATCTTTCCAACGGGATACCAAATCCTGAGGAAAGACAGAGGGAACAGGGGGGGTGGAGGAGTGGCATTGCTGATCAAAAATCACTGGAATTTTGATGAGCTGGAGAGAGGAGACAGCGGAGAAGAAAGTGATTACATAGCGGGGACGCTTCACTCTGGAGGTCCCAAGGTGGTAATAGCAGTGATGTATAACCCACCGCAGAACAGCAGGAGGCCAAGGCAAGAGTACGACGAGAGCAATAGAGCGATGGTTGACACACTGGCTAGAGTGGCCAGAAGAGCTCATGCATGCAGGGCGAAGCTCCTGATCATGGGTGACTTTAACCACAAGGAGATCGATTGGGAGAACTTGGACCCACATGGGGGCCAAGATACATGGAGGGCTAAGATGATGGAGGTGGTACTGGAAAACTTCATGTGCCAACACGTAAGGGACACTACAAGAGAGAGAGGAGAGGATGAACCAGCAAGGCTGGACTTAGTATTCACCTTGAGTAGCGCAGATATCGAGGACATCACATATGAAAGACCCCTTGGGGCCAGTGACCATGTGGTTTTAAGCTTCGAATACACAGTAGAGCTACAAGTGGAGGGAGAAGCAGGAAGGCCAGGACGAGTGAAGCCAAACTACAAGAAAGGGGACTACATAGGAATGAGGAACTTTCTGAACGGGGTTCAGTGGGACAGAGAACTGGCAGGGAAGCCAGTTAATGAGATGATGGAATATGTAGCAACAAAATACAAGGAGGCTGAGGAGAGGTTTGTACCCAAGGGTAACAGGAATAATGAAAAAGCCAGGATGAGCCCATGGTTTACCCAAAGGTGCAAGGAGGCAAAAACCAAGTGTGCCAGGGAATGGAAGAAATATAGAAGGCAAAGGACCCAGGAGAATAAGGAGAGCAGTCATAGAGCCAGAAACGAATATGCACAGATAAGAAGGGAGGCCCAAAGACAATATGAAAACGACATAGCAGCGAAAGCCAGATCTGACCCGAAACTGTTGTACAGCCACATCAGGAGGAAATCAACAGTCAAGGACCAAGTAATCAGGCTAAGGAAGGAAGGAGGAGAGACAACAAGAAATGACCGTGAAGTATGTGAGGAACTCAACAAGAGATTCAAAGAAGTGTTAACAGAGGAGACAGAAGGGGCTCCAGAAAGACGGAGAGGTGGGGCACACCACCATGTGCTGGACACAGTGCACACAACCGAGGAAGAAGTGAAGAGGCTTCTGAGTGAGCTAGATACCTCAAAGGCAATGGGGCCAGATAACATCTCCCCATGGGTATTGAGAGAGGGAGCAGAGGTGCTATGTGTACCCCTAACAACAATATTCAATACATCTATCGAAACAGGGAGATTGCCTGAGGCATGGAAGACAGCAAATGTAGTCCCAATCTTTAAAAAAGGAGACAGACATGAAGCATTAAACTACAGACCAGTGTCACTGACATGTATAGTATGCAAAATCATGGAGAAGATTATCAGGAGAAGAGTGGTGGAACACCTAGAAAGCAACGATCTCATCAACAGCAGCCAACATGGTTTCAGAGACGGGAAATCCTGTGTCACAAACCTACTGGAGTTCTATGACATGGTGACAGCAGTAAGACAAGAGAGAGAGGGGTGGGTGGATTGCATTTTCTTGGACTGCAAGAAGGCGTTTGACACAGTTCCACACAAGAGATTGGTGCAAAAACTGGAGGACCAAGCAGGGATAACAGGGAAGGCACTACAATGGATCAGGGAATACTTGTCAGGAAGACAGCAGCGAGTCATGGTACGTGGCGAGGTGTCAGAGTGGGCACCTGTGACCAGCGGGGTCCCACAGGGGTCAGTCCTAGGACCAGTGCTGTTTCTGTTATTTGTGAACGACATGACGGAAGGAATAGACTCTGAGGTGTCCCTGTTTGCAGATGACGTGAAGTTGATGAGAAGAATTCACTCGATTGAAGACCAGGCAGAACTACAAAGGGATCTGGACAGGCTGCAGACCTGGTCCAGCAATTGGCTCCTGGAGTTCAATCCCACCAAGTGCAAAGTCATGAAGATTGGGGAAGGGCAAAGAAGACCGCAGACGGAGTACAGTCTAGGGGGCCAGAGACTACAAACCTCACTCAAGGAAAAAGATCTTGGGGTGAGTATAACACCAGGCACATCTCCTGAAGCGCACATCAACCAAATAACTGCTGCAGCATATGGGCGCCTAGCAAACCTCAGAACAGCATTCCGACATCTTAATAAGGAATCATTCAGGACCCTGTACACCGTGTACGTTAGGCCCATATTGGAGTATGCGGCACCAGTTTGGAACCCACACCTAGCCAAGCATGTAAAGAAACTAGAGAAAGTGCAAAGGTTTGCAACAAGACTAGTCCCAGAGCTAAGAGGTATGTCCTACGAGGAGAGGTTAAGGGAAATCAACCTGACGACACTGGAGGACAGGAGAGATAGGGGGGACAGGATAACGACATACAAAATACTGAGAGGAATTGACAAGGTGGACAAAGACAGGATGTTCCAGAGATTGGACACAGTTGGAAGCTGAAGACACAGATGAATCACGGGGATGTTAGGAAGTATTTCTTCAGCCACAGAGTAGTCAGTAAGTGGAATAGTTTGGGAAGCGATGTAGTGGAGGCAGAATCCATACATAGCTTTAAGCAGAGGTATGATAAAGCTCACGGCTCAGGGAGAGTGACCTAGTAGCGATCAGTGAAGAGGCGGGGCCAGGAGCTCGGACTCGACCCCCGCAACCTCAACTAGGTGAGTACACACACGCACACATTTATATATATAAAATAATATATATATATATATATATATATATATATATATATATATATATATATAATATATATATATATATATATATATATATATATATATATATATAGAGAGAGAGAGAGAGAGAGAATGGATCAAAGTAGAATGACATGGAAAGCATATAAATCTATAGGGGAAGGAAGGAGGGGTAGGGGTCGTCCTCGAAAGGGTTGGAAAGAGGGGGTAAAGGAGGTTTTGTGGGCGAGGGGCTTGGACTTCCAGCAAGCGTGCATGAGCCTGTTAGATAGGAGTGAATGGAGACGAATGATACTTGGGACCTGACGATCTGTTGGAGTGTGAGCAGGGTAATATTTAGTGAAGGGATTCAGGGAAACCGGTTATTTTCATATAGTTGGACTTGAGTCCTGGAAATGGGAAGTACAATGCCTGCACTTTAAAGGAGGGGTTTGGGATATTGGCAGTTTGGAGGGATATGTTGTGTATCTTTATACGTATATGCTTCTAAACTGTTGTATTCTGAGCACCTCTGCAAAAGCAGTGATAATGTGTGAGTGTGGTGAAAGTGTTGAATGATGATGAAAGTATTTTCTTTTTGGGGATTTTTTCTTTTTTTTGGGTCACCCTGCCTCGGTGGGAGACGGCGGACTTGTTGAATAAATAAATAAATAAATATATATTATATATATATATATATATATATATATATATATATATATATATATATATATATATATATATATATATATATATATATATATATATTTTTTTTTTTTTTTTTTTTTTCAACAAGTCGGCCGTCTCCCACACACACACACACACACACACACACACACACACATACACATACTGCAACTGTTTTTGAATTAAAACGGCAACTTTGCGGTGTTTTTTGCATGGATTTTATTGCTGCAATTTCGGTTTCTTGGTCTCATTTGATAGAATGGAAGATATATTACAGAAATAGACATGATTTTGATTGGTTTCAGGACTGAAAGTTGCTTGAAATTGAGCTCTGAGTAGCAGAAATGTTCATTTTTTGCCAACATTCAAGAGTGCACAAATGACATCACTTGTCCCATACACATGCAACTGGTAGGTTTAACCCTTTAGGGGTTTCGGGCGTACTAGTACGGCTTACGAGCAGGGGTTTTTGACGTACTAGTACGCATAAATTCTAGCGCCGTCAAATCTAGTGAGAGAAAGCTGGTAGGCCTTCATATGAAAGAATGGGTCTATGTGGTCAGTGTGCGCAGTATAAAAAAAAAATCCTGCAACACACAGTGCGTAATGAGAAAAATGAGATTCTGCATGTTTGAGACAGAAAAGAGACACCAGCAATCCTACCATCATGTAAAACAAATACAGGCTTCCTTCTCACACTTGGCAGGACGGTAGTACCTCCCTGGGTGGTTGCTGTCTACCAACCTACTACCATTTTATGCAATGGTTAAATGAATTGCAAGGTGTATGTACTCTTTGGAAACTAGATTACAGTAAGACAATAATCGTAAGACTTGAATATGGTGCCTTTTGAGAGTTAATAAGATTTGGTGTTGTCTTGTGTACTGCAAGGTTGTCTGCACAGCATCTCTGCTCACTAGACCCTAGATGGAGGGTGCTTGTGCCTGCACAGATCAGCAATAAGTGCACTGGTATATCAGGTTCCTAGGTGACTTTATACTGGTGTGGGGCTCTTGATCCAAGAAATTAGGCCTATCCTTCCTTAAATCAAACTTGTTTACTTTTCTTTTCTTCCCTCTATGGAAGGAGTGCTAAACACCAGTGGGTTTAGCACTCCCATAAATGTAATCCTAATAATAGCATGTCTGCTCTGGGCAATTGGAAATGAATGTTCTATGAAAAATAACCTGAATTAACCTATCATACCTTACAGTATCTTGGTGACTGTTGGACCTTCACCTCCAGTTGTCATTATGCTACATTTCCAAAGATTTTTAGCGATTGGAAAATTTCTGCCAATTCTTAAAGGATTGGTAATGTTCTACCAATATTTAGACTTCAGTGAGTTAGCGTATTTCTTGATGAGTGATGCAGCTTTGGATCTCTCACTTTTTCAGTATGGAGCACAGTATGCATTTGTCTTACACTGTAATTCATATATTTTCAGGCACAGGAGAGCAGTACTGCTGAGACAGCTCAGGTTCGCCCTCAGATTGGAGTCTCGCCAACTGCATCATCTGCCAACCCTCTTGCTCTCTTTGCAAATTTGATGGCTGAAGCATTTAGTGGAAGGCAGGGAAATGCAGCACAGCAGCAGCCAGAACAGCAGCAACAGCAGTCACAACAACCAGCTTCAGATGGCAGTGAACCTCAGATCAGTGATCAAATGTTTGCTCAGCTGGTTCAGGTTAGTTAATACTTAGAGAAATAGGAGTCCCTTGTTATTAAAGAACTATAAATTATAGTTGTACTAGCACTACCTCTGTATCTTGCAACCCACTCCACTGTTCTAAAACTGTGAGGAACTTGATTTTACATTTCTGGTAAGTCTTCCTTAGTTTATAGCTGTGGCTTTTTTTCCCCCGTTAAGTGTTAGAAAATCCTCCTGTATTAACCCTTTATCGTGTTTGGCCGGAAAAATTCGGGGGTCCAAGCCGTAGATCTACACCTTGTTCACAGGGTCCAAGTCGTAGTTTTACGCCATGAACTTCGCTCACTCAGATAATTTGTGAGCAGTAAATTTGGGCCTAGATTGAGAGAATGGATCAATGTGTTGTGTGCATCATATAAAATAAATCCTGCAACACGCAGTGCATAATGAGAAAAACAAATTTTTTTTTTTTTGGATTAAAACACTGAGAATGCAGTGTATTTTTGTATGGTTTTTATACTTGTATGTATTTGTGGTTTCTTGATCTCAACTGATAGAATGGAAGATATATTACAGAAATAGAGAAGATTGTGATTGGTTTTAGTACTGAAAATAGCTTGAAATTGAGCTCAAACCAGCAGAAATGTTCGTTTTTTGCCGAATGTTTAACCCTTTGACTGTTTTGGTCGTATATATACGTCTTACAAGCCACTGTTTTTGACGTATATATACTCATAAATTTTAGCGGCTTCAAATCAAGCAGGAGAAAGCTGGTAGGCCCACATGTGAGAGAATGGGTCTGTGGGGTCAGTATGCACCATATTAAAAAAATCCTGCAGCACGCAGTGCATAATGAGAAGAAAAAAAAGAATGTTTTTTTTTAATTAAAATGCCGACTTTGTGGTCTATTTTTGTATAGTATTTATGGTTGTATTCTCGTTTTCTTGGTCTCACTTGAGAGAATGGAAAACATTTTATAGAAATAGAGGTGATTTTGATTGGTTTTAATATGAAAAGAACCTTGAAATGGAGCTCAAAGTAGGGAAAATGTTTGATTTTTGACTGTTCAAAAGTAAACAAATTATGTCATTTTCCAATAAATGTCCAAGTAGCCATTCTAATATGCACTTATGAATGGGTTGACATTATTTATACAATTATTACAATATTACAATATTCTACATAACAGTAAATCTTCTATATTTTGTTTGAATAAAAATTCAAAGTAGAAAGCAAGAGTAATATCAGAGGGGCTTGGAGACGTGACTGATGAACAAAGAAAATGTTACTTTACAGCCAGGAATGTCTGCATTGGTCATTCTGGACCCTATTTAGAAATTGTCATATTTTTTTATTTTTCGTGAAATTGGCCAAATTGTAAATTTCTGACCACGATACTGGGTAGTTGAAATTGGTTAATGGGCAGTTTATTGTACTCAATCAATAGAAAAAATGGAGTTCTGAAGAAGTAGCTATGAGTTTGGTCAACTGGATCACTGGAATTAGCCAAAAATAGGGCTGAAAGTGGGCGACATCACGGATTCGTAAATATCGCCGAGGTCACTAACTTTGTGAGAGCGTAATTCCGTTAGTTTTCCATCAAATTTCATTCTTTTGGTGTCATTACAATTGGAAAAAGAGTCTCTATCATTTCATAATATTTTTCTTTTTTAATTTTGCAACACCAGGAGACACCTCAGGATTTGGGGTTGCAACAGTCAAGGGGTTAAGAGTGAACAAATCACACCATGTATCCATTACACGTCAACTGGTGGGTCTAATATACATTCACAAATGTACTGGTATTACTTATACAATTATTACAATATTGCATAACAGTAAATCTTCTATTTTTTGGTGTGAATAAAAATTCTTTACGTAAATAAAAAATTAAAATGGAATTCATCTGTAAAGCCTGGATATGTAATTAATAAACAGAGGAAATGTTGTTTTAGTCTCAGGAATGCCTGCATTGTTTATTCTGGACCCTATTTTGAAATTGGAGTATTTTGAACTTTGTGTGAAATTGGCCAAATTACCAGTTTCTGATCACTTTATTGGGTAGTTGAAATAGTTGATTGGGAAGTTTCTTGTGATCAGTCGATAAAATAGATGTAATAGTAGCTAAACAGCAAAGAATTTGGTCAACTGCAATAATGTAATTATCCTAAAATAGGAGTCGAAGTGGGCAAAATTGCCGATGCGTAAATGTGCACGACAGTAAAATTCATGATAGTATAATTTCGTCAGTTTTCCACCAAATTTAATATTTTTTTTGTTTTATTACCTTCAGAAAAAGATTCTCTACCATTTCATAAGAAAAAAAAATAATTTTTATTTTTTTTTTTTAAATTCTTGGACCCTGTGGACAAGGCATAGATCTATGGGTTGGACCCTCAAAGGGTTAATTCTGTCTTAACTTTTCATGATCTTATGTGCAGTTATTAAATCTTGAGTTGAACCCCAAAAATCATGTGCTTCACAATCTGTGTGATTTGATTTTACAGTATTTTTGCTAAAGGGAGTTTTCCAGATAGGTTCATTGTCTGCTTGTTGTATGACGCCTAACTACTTGCTTGGTGCAAATCCCATCTTGAAAATTAAATACAGAATTGGATTTATAATAATAATAATTCTTATTATTTAATACTTACCACAACCAGTCATCTCTCAGTAAGGTAGGGCGGCCTGAAAAAAAGAAGAAATACTTGCACCATCACTCACTCCATCACTCTTGCCAGAGGCATGCTGATACTACAATTCAGATGCCCCTTCAAACTGCAGTATCTGCACCCCTCCTTTAGAGTGCAGGCACTGTACTTCTCCACCTCTAGGACTCAACTTTGGCTAACTGGTTCCCCTGAATCCCTTCATAAAATGTTACCTTATGCACTAATTGCATGTCAAGTCATAAAAATCACTTGCCTTGCCTCTAGAGACTAAAAGAACTCATAGGTAAGGATCCACAATAGGTCAGGGGAAAGTGAGGATAGTTGAAGATGAATAGGTGAGGGAGAGGAAAAGGCTATAGAAAAAGAAAAAAGCCTGGGCTAAATCCAGCAACAAAGGCATTGTAAAGCTTGTTCCCTTCAAGACTGACTGGATAAGGTCGGCAAAAGGTCAGATGGTGTGGTGGCACCTAAAACGACTCTAGGCAAGGCTCCTCATTCAGTTGCAAGGCGATGTACGTCCTTGGCTATGGCATTTAACCCTTCGAGGGTCCAGATCCCCAGGGTCCAAGAATTTAAGAAAAAATATTTTTTCTTATGAAATGGTAGAAAATCTTTTTCTGAAGGTAATAAAACAAAAAGTGTGAAATTTGACGGACATTTTACTTAATTACGCTATCACGAATTTTGCTTCATCGGCAATATTTACGCATCTGTGATTTTTGCCCATTTTAACTCCTATTTTAGGCCAACTACATTCTTCCAGGTGACCAAATTCTTAGCTATTTCACTAACATCACTTCTGTTTTATCAATTGACCACAAGAAACTGCCCAGTCAACTATTTCAGTCATCAGAAATTGGTAATTTGGTCAATTTCCACAAAGTTCAAAATATTCCAATTTCAAAATAGGGTTCAGAATAAACAATGCAGTTATTCCTGGCACTAAAATATCATTTTTTCTGTTTATTAGTTGTTTACAGACTTTACAGATGAATTCCATTTTTTTTTTATTCACAAAGTATTTTTATTCAAACCAAAAAGTAGATGATTTGCTGTTGTGCAATATTGTAATAATTGTATAAATAATATCAGCACATTCATAGACACACATTAAACCCACCAGTTGATGTATATTGGATGTGTGATGTGATTTGTTTACTCTTGAACATTGAGCTCATTTTCAAGCTATTTTCAGTACCAAAACCAATCAAATTCATCTCTCTTTCTGTAATATATCCTCCAGTCTATCAAATGAGATCAAGAAGCCATGAATAGAACTGTAAAAACCATCTGAAAATACACCGCAAAGTCGCTGTTTTATTCCAAAAACACGATAACAGTTTTTTTCTCATTATGCACTGTATGCTGCAGGATTTATTTTATATGGTGCACACTTAGCATGTAGATGATTTCTCTAATATCTAGGCCCAAATTTACTGCTCACAGCTTATCTAAGTGAGCTGAGCTCATGATGTAGTACGACTGCACTGACCCTAGCTTCAAAACTGTAGAACTACGGCACAGACCTTCAAAGGGATAATTAGTCCCACAGTATGCACAATTCACATGGAAGTTCTGGGGCTGTAAAAAATGTGATCTGTAGACCTCAGTGGGAGAACCAATGTTCTATTTATAATGTAATTGGAAGGAGATTGAGATTGGTTAATATGGTACAGTATTCTATGGAAGGGATCATTGATGGTGTGAAAGGCAAAGAAGTTTATTTGATACTCCTGAGGCACTTAAGTCTTTTGATTACAGTACACGAAGTTTACTATCAGACTGGATTCTAAATAGAATTTCTAAATTATTTGTAATTTGTTTACATTCATTGTGATTTTGCAAAAAAAAAAAAAAAAAAAAAATCACAGCAAATATTTACCTTGGATTCTTATTTAGCCTAGGTAATATTAGTACCAACACTCTTATATGGGTGTGAAGCTTGGGTGGCAAATGCAGCAGCGAGGAGACGGTTGGAGGCAGTGGAGATGTCCTGTTTAAGGGCAATGTGTGGTGTAAATATTATGCAGAAAATTCGGAGTGTGGAAATTAGGAGAATGTGTGGAGTTAATAAAAGTATTAGTCAGAGGGCAGAGGAGGGGTTGTTGAGGTGGTTTGGTCATTTAGAGAGAATGGATCAAAGTAGAATGACATGGAAAGCATATAAATCTATAGGGGAAGGAAGGCGGGGTAGGGGTCGTCCTCGAAAGGGGGTAAAGGAGGTTTTGTGGGTAAGGGGCTTGGACTTCCAGCAAGCGTGCGTGAGCGTGTTAGATAGGAGTGAATGGAGACGAATGGTACTTGGGACCTGATGATCTGTTGGAGTGTGAGCAGGGTAATATTTAGTGAAGGGATTCAGGGAAACCGGTTATTTTCATGTAGTCGGACTTGAGTCCTGGAAATGGGAAGTACAATGCCTGCACTTTAAAGGAGGGGTTTGGGATATTGGCAGTTTGGAGGGATATGTTGTGTATCTTTATATGTGTATGCTTCTAGACTGTTGTATTCTGAGCACCTCTGCAAAAACAGTGATAATGTGCGAGTGTGGTGAAAGTGTTGAATGATGATGAAAGTATTTTCTTTTTGGGGATTTTCTTTCTTTTTTGGGTCACCCTGCCTCGGTGGGAGACGGCCGACTTGTTGAAAAAAAAAAAAAAAAATATTAGTGAGCCACTTTTGCAAAAAAAAAAAAAAAAAAAAAAAATGAGTCTTGATTGAATTAGCTCTAGTTGATGTTGCATTTTACTTGAATGCAGTAGTTAAACTCATAATGTTTTCATGACAGTAGGTAAAATAATTCCAGGGTGTTATGTCGCAAGTGTCAGGTTCATTGAATGCTGAAGGTAGCACCAGTAACAGTCAACAAGCTGGTGCTTCACTCCATGAGTTTCTGCAGCCATTTGATGGTGGAATGTTTAGTGAAGGCGAAGAAGACTCTCTCTTCTATCAATTATTTAACACTGTGGTAAGTGTTTCAAGGTGTTAAATAAAGTGCTTAACAAATATGTATGGCATTATTGTTTGGAAGTTTCAGTTAGATATTTTGTTAATTTTTCACTTTATTACCTTGACATTTGATGTTTTATGAAATATTTTCTTAATTTTGGGTGCATTTGTATTCTATAATGATTCTTTTCAAATATGGTTTAACAAGAACAGAATATTTCCAGTTTTCATAATTGTAATACTGCTTTAACCCTTGCACTGTTGAGACTCCTAATCACAAACTTGCTGTGTGTTGAAAACTATAAAAAAAAAAAAAAATTTTTTTTTCAAAATCTTAAGAATATTGAGCGTTTTAAAAGAAAAAAAAATTGTGATGAGTACTTAATGAGATATAGAGGCGTGAAGTTGACAAAAAGGGAACCGCTTACGGGAACATCGGTAACTGCCGTTCACTCAGTAATATCGTTTTTACTTTTAATATATTTTTTCTTTTCTCTTCACATATATTATTTTTTCAAGTAACTTTTGTGGCCTGTGAGACCAGTATAATGCATAATGTATATATATCCACTCGTTGTATGCAACACAATAACCACACAAATATTGTTAGCATTATATTGTTTACAAAACTTGTTTACACAAACCGACACTGCCTTCCCTACTACCTACACTGGAAATTAGTCACTTTGTCTGTCCTTTTTGGGTTATCCTAGGTAATCTACACATATGCAACTATGTATGATAATCTATATAACTGTTTGTGTATACCTGAATAAACTTATACACCGACTTCCAAACCACCCATGCTGTCTTCCCCACCCACACCATCTTCCCCACCATCCATGCTGTCTTCTCCACTGCCCACTCTGTCTTCCCTTTTCACTATCTGTATCTGTCACAAACTCCTCAAAACCAAGAAATTCATCTTCACTGACACTTCCATCTGTGTTAGAACTATCACTTGGGAAGAGAAGAGTGCCAATTTGCCAGGGAGTGAGATGTTTCTTACCACAAGGCATAAACGAGGACTACTGAAATGGCTTTCCCACAATGCAATGCAGTGCCCTGATTTTTTTTTTGTTATGCTGTGCACACTGACTATGCTAACCCATTCTCTCACATGTAGGTCTACCAGCTTTCTCCTGCTAGATTTGAAGCTGGTAGAATTTTGGCATATTAATATGTCACTGACACTGTGGCTTGTAAGCTGTACCTGTACGTCACCGACAGTGAAAGGGTTAAATATATTTAGGATTTTTTTATTTTTCTAAAATATTGCATGAACAAATGAAAAATTAGTTTCTTCTATTTAATAATGCACTTAAATTAGTAATAGTGAGGTGTTATTATGTATCGACGAAGGTAGAAAGGTGGGTGGTGTATTAAGGCATTTGTGGAGACTAAGAATGTTATCTCTGGTGACAAAAATGGAAATGATCAAGTATAGTGATAACTCTCTTGTATGGGTTTGGAGCATGAGTTTCAAAAATTCCAGTGAGGAGGAGGCTGAAGGTAATGGAGATGTCATGTCTGAGGGTAATCTGTGGTGTGGATATTTTGCAGACACTTCATAGTTTGGAGAGGTGCAGAGTTACTAAAATTATCCTGTGGGATGAAGAGGGGTTATTGAGGTACTTTGGACATCTAGAGAGGATTGGACAAAATACGATGATACTTTCTGTTGCACAGAAGTGCTAAACTCTACGAATGATATAGTAAAAATCCTAGGCATTAAAGTTGAAAATAGGAATTTGGTAATTATCCTAGTATATAAACCACCATCAGCAGCTGCTGAGGAATTCACAGATCAGTTAAGAAAGATAGATAGCTATCTGAATAGGGTAGAAAATCCAACACCAAATATTTTACTCCTTTGAGATTTTAATCTCCCTCATGTAAAATGGAAGATGGCGCAACATAATGTTGTACCAGAAATATCTCCGGGAAGCACCCTGGCTCAACAGGCACATACCAGGGAACTAATGAGGCTTTGTAAAAATACTCATTGAACCAAAAGATAGTTGATCCCACTAGGAATGAAAATACCCTGGATTTGATATTCACAAACAATGAGGAACTAAGAGACATAACAGTTAAAAAACAATATAGTCTGATCACAGCATCACGGGAGTTTAAGTGCGTATTAACCCAGGGTTAGGGAACTGCGTCACAAATGTTAGAGACGGGATATTCAATAAGTTTAATTTTAACAACCATGGAATTGACTGGGAAAAAATAAACCAAGACCTATCAGACATATCCTGGGAATCAGACATGAGTTCCCTAAATCCCCACTAGTGCCTAGAGAAGCTGAATATAGAAGCATACAAGGTATGTATGAAGTACATACCTTTGAGGAAACCCAGATGATGATCACGTATAGAGAGAGCATAGGAGATGGTACAGAAGAAGAAAATGGGTTACTGAATTGGTAAAAAACACAAATATGCTGCAATAGAGAATGAGAGATCACTGAATTAGAGCAAAAACTTAGGTTGTCATACCTAACAGAAGAAGTACAAAGACAACAAAGGACCATACAGGATATTGCAAGAAACCCAAAATATTTCTATTCCTATGCAAAATTCTAGTTAAGAACTTCCTGTAGAATTGGACCACTATTGAGAGGAGATTCGTATACTGATGATGAACAGGAAATGAGTGAAATCCTAAAAACAGTACAAGTCGGTGTTCAGCAGTCCACTAAATGACAGCAAGGTAGAAAATGCAGAAATATTTTTCACTCCAGCAGAAGACCGCACAGATCAGCTATCTGACATTAGTACAAATCCCATAGATTTTGAAAAAGAAATGGGCAACATGCCCACTCACTCAGCACCTGGACCAGATTCATGAAATGCTTTATTTATAAAGAAGTGCAAAGTACTAGTAGCACGAGCCCTCGGTATTCTTTGGAGAAAGAGCTTAGATCTAGGTGAAATACCAGTGGCCTTAAAGTGCAGACATAGCACAAGGGAGGTAGTAGAGCACTAGCTAAAAATTACAGACCAGGAGCCCTAACTTCTCATATCATAAAAATCTTTGAAAGAGTGATGAGACGGCAAATTTCAATGTTCATGGACCAGCACAATCAGCATAGCCCGAACCAGCATGGTTTTAGAGCAGGACAATCATGCCTGTCACAGCTGCTGAACCATTATGACAGAATTAACCCTTTGACTGTTTTGGTCATGTATATACGTCTTACGAGCCAGTGTTTTGGATGTATAAACACCTACCATCCGACTTACGACCAAGTTTGGTTCCGACCAACTGGTCGTAAGTCAAAATGGACGCAAGTCGAACCTTTAAAAATTGCCGACATACTGGGTAGGGCATAATGTCAAAATTTTCCTATATGAACTACCTACATAGTACTGTAATGTAATGTACAATCATTATTTCATTTTTTTTACCATAATTTACTTCTGTTGTTATATTTTAATTATTTATTTACTGTATATAATGTATACATGGTAGTGAACTGTATTGTAAATTTTACATCGCATACAGTATCATATGTTACTGTTATCTTTATGTATTGTCGACACAGTGGAATGGGAGAATACCACTGGTAGTGTCATCCTGCCAGAATGTTGTATAACCTATACCCTAAGTAAAGAGAAACAACTCTGGAACATGTGTAATACGTAGCTGGCTGGCTGGCCGGGTGGGTGGGAGGCCGGGAGGCCGATTGGCTGACTGAATGTGTGTGTGTGTGTGTGTGTGTGTGTCTGTCTCTGTCTGTCTCTGTCTGTCTCTGTCTCTGTCTGTCTGTGTCTGTGTCTGTCTGTCTGTGTCTGTCTGTGTCTGTCTGTCTGTCTGTCTGTCTGTCTGTCTGTCTCTCTCTCTCTCTCTCTCTGTCTCTCTCCTCTGTCTCTCTCTCTCTCTCTCTCTCCTCTCTCTTCTTCTCTCTCTTCTCTCTCTCTCTCTCTCTCTCCTCCTCTCTCTCTCTCTCTCTCTCTCTGCTCTCTCTCTCTGTCTCTCTCTCTCTCTGTCTCTCTCTCTCTCTTCTCTCTCTCTTCCCTCTCTCTCTCTGTCTTCTCTCTCTCTCGTCTCTCTGTCTCTCTCTCTCTGTCTCTCTCTCTCTGTCTGTCTCTCTCTCTGTCTCTCCTCTGTCTCTGTCTCCTGTCTCTTCTCTCTCTGTCTTCTCTCTCTGTCTCTCTCTCTTCTCTCTCCTCTCTCTTTCTCCGTCTCCTCTTCTCTCTTCTCTCTCTCTCTCTCTCTCTCTCTCTCTCTCCTCTCTCTCTCTCTCTCTCTCTCTCTGTCTCTGTCTCTGTCTCTGTCTCTGTCTCTCTCTCTGTCTCTGTCTCTCTCTCTGTCTCTCTCTCTCTCTCTCTCTCTCTCTCTCTCTCTCTCTCTCTCTCTCTCTTCTCTCTCTCTCTCTCTCTCTCTCTCTCTCTCTCTCTCTCTGTCTCTCTGTCTCTCTCTCTCGTACACGTAAGTAAAGTTATCATACATAGTATAAATTACCTAGGATAACCCAAATAATCCAGACAAAGTGCTATACAGTGGATTTGTGCTCCAGTGCCCTAAATTAATAATATTAATTATTATTATTATTACAATAATACATAAGTACAGTGAACCCCGGTATTCGATATTAATCCGTTCCTGAGAGCTCATCGAAAAGCGAATCAATTTTCTCCATAAGAAATAATGAAAATCAAATTAATCCGTGCAAGACACCCAAAAGTATGAAAAAAAAAATTTTTTTACCACATGAAACATTAATTTTAATACACACAAACTGAAGAAGACATGCACAGTTATATGACACTTACCTTTATTGAAGATCTGGTGATGATTGATGGGATGGGAGGAGGGGAGAGTGTGGATGGTGTTAGTGTTTAGAAGGGGAATCCCCTTCCATTAGGACTTGAGGTAGCAAGTCCTTTTCTGGGGTTACTTCCCTTCTTTTAATGCCACTAGGACCAGCTTGAGAGTCACTGGACCTCTGTTGCACAAGAAATCTGTCCATAGAGCTCTGTACACAAATAACCCGCACATAAAAGAGAAGCTTTCGACGACATTTCGGTCCGACTTGGACCATTGACAAAGTCACACTTTGTTGTGCGACTTTGTCAGGGGTCCAAGTCGGACCGAAACGTCGTCGTAAGCTTCTCTCTTTTATATGCGGGTTATTTGTGTATCGTTCCAGTCACGGTATTGTGCCTTTTTTGTTATTCATAGAGCTCTGTACCTCCCATTCCTTTACGATTTGTCTAAAATGGGCCACAACATTGTCATTGTAATAGTCACCAGCACGGCTTGCAATAGCTGTGTTAGGGTGATTTTCATCCATAAAGGTTTGCAGTTCAACCCACTGTGCACACATTTCCTTAATTTTTGAAGTAGGCACAATGGATTCCACAACTGGCATAGGCTTCTCAGGGTTAGCCCCAAACCCTTCAAAATCTTTCTTAATTTCCATACTAATTCTCACCCTTTTTACCACAGGGTTGGCACTAGAAGCTTTCTTGGGGTCCATGGTGACTTATTTTGCAGAAACAAGCACCAAAAACAGTGATAATATGGAATGTACCGAATGTATCCTTAGATGCGTGCACACTGGCTGGCTTGTAAACACTGGCACACACAGGGCAGTTCAGGTCACACGTGGACACGTCTTGTACGAATCGTATCGAATACCGGGTTTTCAATCGGATACCGAGGTAAAATTCTGCGTTAAAATGCATCGAATACCGGATTTATCGAATACCGATGCCATCGAATACCGGGGGTCCACTGTACTAATATTAATATTATTATTATTATTAAACTATAATAATCGTGTCCACTCATTACTTACCTTAAAATATCTGTAGTCTTAATGTAGAGTGAGATGTGAGTAAACAAGATTAAATAAATAAACGAATGAGTGTGTAGAAGGTTGGCGAGTTATGTAAACAAATGTTGTTGTTGTTGTTACCAGCCCGGACATGAATGATTCCTGTTCACTCGTTCAAGCCGACCAGAAAAACATGTCATATTTGTTAATTTTTTATATGTTTATATGTTATGTAGCATGTTTATTATATAATTTTGAAAAAGAAATCATAATCGATTAAGCAAAATGTCTATATCAACGTTTTATACACATTTAATGCGCCTCAGTGATTATTATTGTGTTATTATCAATATTTACCAAAAATCATATATGACTAACCCAAGCCAGGTACTAGAAATAAGCAGAGTTAACTTTTTGGGGTTATCCTAGGTTCTCTACACATATGCTGCTACGTGTGATAATCTATATAGAGAAAATAACTTTTTTATTTCAGGTTTATAGCGCAGTACGAGTGTATATCAGTTAGCCCTGTGCTATACTCTGTTTCCTCTAATATAAGTCCCCAAGACAGGGATAGGAGAATGGTATTTGTATACCATATCTTCTTCATGAAAATGAATATAGTCGGACTTGAGTCCTGGAAATGGGAAGTACAATGCCTGCACTTTAAAGGAGGGGTTTGGGATATTGGCAGTTTGGAGGGATATGTTGTGTATCTTTATATGTGTATGCTTCTAGACTGTTGTATTCTGAGCACCTCTGCAAAAACAGTGATAATGTGCGAGTGTGGTGAAAGTGTTGAATGATGAAAGTATTTTCTTTTTGGGGATTTTCTTTCTTTTTTGGGTCACCCTGCCTCGGTGGGAGACGGCCGACTTGTTGAAAAAAAAAAAAAAAAATCTTCTTCATACCTCCATTGAACTGCTCAGTGTTATTCCAAATATTATTTATTCTGGAGTATTTAACATGTTCTATGTTATTTATATTGTTTATTATGTCACATTAGATCAATTGTGATAGGCAAATAAGCTGTAGTGTTGATATTAGAGTAATAATAAAGCATATTCTCTTGAATCATGAGACTGAGCTCATGGCAACCAACAGTGGCTTTAAAGCCACCTTATCTTTAATGGATAATGTACTGTGTAGGTGCTTTACATAATGAGAAGCATTTCTTTTATTCATTTGAACCATGGCTAGGGCTAAAAGTAAGCAGGTTTTAACAATAAATGGAGAAAAAGAAATTGGAATGACTTATTTAGCAAGAAGCACCACCGAACAGTACCAGCAGGTTAGTGTGGCGACCCTGGAAATTTGAAATTATGCTAGCCAAAATTATTGCCGAATAACTGAAGGAACCGAATACCTGATTGCCAAATTTGTGATGGCGGACCTGTATTCATTAGCTCTCAACCTACTTTTCATTTAGTTGTAATCAATTTATTCTTTCAACTTATTTTTACTGTGTGATAGTTGCAGATGAAAATATTTTCCTGCTTGAATGCTTGTATACTTTTCTATAATATAAAAAGTTGTACATCATATATAATTATATATTGTCTAGTGAAATTTACATGGATTTTCCCCAATTAACCTTTAGGCTCTGTCACTCTCTATTGGGGACCTCGTTCAACTTTTCTTTGGACGTGCAACAACAGTAAATCAGCTCCGGGCTCCTTTGCAACAATTTGTGAGGGAGAGAGCACTTCAAGGAAATCAGCCTACTGAAGAGAATTTAGATCGTGCCATTGATAACGTTATTCGTGATCTTCATCCTCATCTTGTCCTTACTGCTGTGAGTGCCTTCTGTACTTTTTCTTCCTATATTTTGAGGTCTATTAAAAATGTCAGATTGACTTAACTGTAAGCATTGCAGTAGTGAAATGGTAGGTTACTTAGATTGGATTTATAGATTATTCAAAATCCTGCTGTCACTATAGATCTTACTGTACTGAAAGATCATGTAAAAAAGTGGAACACATTGCTATTTTGTTTATTCTATTCATTAAAAATAAGTGGTATACATCAGGGATTTAACAAAACTCCCTGTTATGAAAATTACTGTGAGGAAAACCTATTATAACTGCAATAAACAGAAAAGTAAATTGTAAGTTAAAACTGAAAACTTTATTATTATAAATAAAATAAAAATGAATATTATAATCAGGATGGTACTTATTCTAAAGCCTGAGGGGTTAATATAGCTAAGTAATTATAGCGGTGTTTTAGTGTGGCAGTGGTGTGCCAGGTAGTGTTGGAGACGGGTGGAAGAAGTCTCCAGGAAGGAGCATAGGTTTGTGCTGACTATAACTGGTGATAGTCACTTGTTGACGGATGTAGGTGTCCAACCTGGGCACCCACATCAGTTTTACTTTTTAACTGGGCTCTTTTTTTTTTTATTTTTATCATTCACTTTTTTTTTTTTTTAACTACATGGTTTAAGCTGGATTAGGATTTCAAAAATATTTTTCATAGTGCAAAAGGAGAGCAGATGATAGTGGGAGAGGCACTGTCAAGAAATTTGGCTGAAAATAAGAAAAAAATTTGGAGTGAGATAAACAGGTTGAGAAAGCCTAGGGAACGACTGGATTTGTCATTTAAAAACAGGGTAGAGGAGTTGATGGGGAGCTGGAGGTACTGGGTAGATGGCGGGAATATTTTAGGAACTTTTAAATGTTGATGAAGAAAGGGAGGCAGTAATTTCATGCACTGGCCAAGGAAGCATAACATCTTGTAGGAGTGAAGAAGAGCAGGATGTAAGTGTGGGGGAGGTTCGTGAGGCATTATGTAGAATGAAAGGGGGTAGAGCAGCTGGAACTGATGGGATCATGACAGAAATGTTAAAAGCAGGTGAGGGGATATAGTGTTGGAGTAGTTGGTATTATTGTTTAATAAATGTATGAAAGGGAGGAAGGTACCTAGGGATTGGCAGAGAGCATGTATAGTTCCTTTATATAAAGGGAAGAGGGACAAAAGAAATTGTAAAAATTATAGGGGAATAAGTTTACTTAGTTACCAGGTAAAGTGTATGGTAGGGTTATTATTGAAAGAATTAGGAGTAAGACAGAGACTAGGATTGCAGATGAGCAAGGAGGCTTTAGAATGGGTAGGGGATGTGTAGATCAAGTGTTTACACTGAAGCATATATGTGAACAGTACAGTGGACCCCCGCTTAACGATCACCTCCAAATGCGACCAATTATGTAAGTGTATTTATGTAAGTGCGTTTGTACGTGTATGTTTGGGGGTCTGAAATGGACTAATCTACTTCACAATATTCCTTATGGGAAAAAATTTGGTCAGTACTGGCACCTGAACATACTACTGGAATGAAAAAAGTTCGTTAACCGGGGGTCCACTGTATTTAGATAAAGGTAGGGAAGTTTTCATTGCATTTATCAATTTAGAAAAGGCATATGATAGTGGAAACGGGAGCAATGTAGTAGATTGCAAGTGTATGGAATATGTAGTAAGTTACTAAATGCTGTAAAGAGTTTTTATGAGGATAGGCTCAGGTTAGGCTGTGTAGGAGAGAGGGAGATTACTTCCCAGTAAAAGTAGGTCTTAGACAGGGATGTGTAATGTCACCATTGTCGTTTAATATATTTATAGGTGGGGTTGTAAAAGAAGTAATTGTTAGGGTGTTGGGGAGAGGGGTGGGATTAATTTAAGGGGAATCAAATACAAAATGGGAGTTGACAGTTACTTTTTGCTAATGATACTGTGATTATAGGAGATTCTAAAGAAAAGTTGCAAAGGTTAGTGGACGAGTTTGGGAGGGTGAGTAAAAGTAGAGTTGAAAGTGAACATGGATAAGAGTAAGGTGATGAGGGTATCAAATGATTTAGATAAAGAAAAATTGGATGTTATGTTGGAGAGAGGGAGTATGGAAGAAGTAAATGTTTTCAGATATTTGTGAGTTGACTTGTCAGCAGATGGGTTTATGAAGGATGAGGTTAACCATAGAATTGATGAAGGAAAAATGGTGAGTGGTGCATTGAGGTATCTGTAGAGACAAAAAATGTTATCAATGGAGGCAAAGAAGGGAATGTACAAAAGTATAGTGGTACCAACACTCTTACATGGGTGTGAAGCTTGGGTTGCAAATGCTGCAGCAAGGAGGCAGCTGGAGGCAGTGGAGATGTCCTGTCTAAGGGTAGTGTGTAGTGTAAATATTATGCAAAGAATTCAGAGTGTGGAAATTAGGAGGTGTAGAGTTACTAAAAGTATTAGTCAAAGGGCTGAAGAGGGGTTTTTGAGGTGGTTTGGTCATTTAGAGAGAATGGATCAAAGTAGAATGACTTGGAGAGTGTATAAATCTGTAGGGAAAGGAAGGAGGGGTAGGGATCGTCCTCAAAAAGGTTGGAGGGACGGGGTAAAGGAGGTTTTGTGGGTGAGGAGCTTTGATTTCCAGCAAGCATGTGTGAGCATGTTAGATGGGAGTGAATGGAGACGAATGGTTTTTGGGACATGAGCTGTTGGAGTGTGAGCAGGGTAATATTTTGTGAAGGGATTCAGGGAAACCAGTTAGTTGGATTTGAGTCCTGGAAATGGGAAGTACAATGCCTGCACTTTAAAAGAGGGGTTTGGGATATTGGCAGTTTGGAGGGACTTTTGAACTGTTGTATCTGAGCGCCTGTGCAATAACAGTGATTTATGTATGAGTTAGGTGAAAGTGTTAAATGATGATGAAAGTATTTTCTTTCTTTTTGGGTCACCCTGCCTCGGTGGGAGACGATTGATGTGTTAAAAAAATATTCATGGTGAGTTTGTAGTAAAATATCTAGTCTTCGGGAAGGACCAAACAATACAAACATGTATTCATTTTGTGATTCAGGGCTAATTGCACTATCATATAGCAGTCTGCATCCTTTTTAACTTTAAATTAATTCAAATTTTCTGAAATTGGTTGCTTCACTATATATATTGGTAATATCATCGGGTCAGTAATGTAACTTCTTAAAAGAATAATGATAATTTTTCTTTAATGGGTAGGGGGTGTGTGGACCAGGTGTTTACAGTGAAACATATAAGGGAACAGTATTTAGATAAGGCTAAAGAGGTCTTTGTGGCATTTATGGATTTGGAAAAGGCGTATGACAGGGTGGATTTGGGGGCAATGTGGCAGATGTTGCAAGTGTATGGTGTAGGAGGTAGGTTACTGAAAGCAGTGAAGAGTTTTTACGAGGATAGTGAGGCTCAAGTTAGAGTATGTAGGAAAGAGGGAAATTATTTCCCAGTAAAAGTAGGCCTTAGACAAGGATGTGTGATGTCACCGTGGTTGTTTAATATATTTATAGATGGGGTTGTAAGAGAAGTATATGCAAGGGTCTTGGCAAGAGGCATGGAGTTAAAAGATAAAGAATCACACACAAAGTGGAAGTTGTCACAGCTGCTCTTTGCTGATGACACTGTGCTCTTGGGAGATTCTGAAGAGAAGTTGCAGAGATTGGTGGATGAATTTGGTAGGGTGTGCAAAAGAAGAAAATTAAAGGTGAATACAGGAAAGAGTAAGGTTATGAGGATAACAAAAAGATTAGGTGATGAAAGATTGGATATCAGATTGGAGGGAGAGAGTATGGAGGAGGTGAACGTATTCAGATATTTGGGAGTGGACGTGTCAGCGGATGGGTCTATGAAAGATGAGGTGAATAATAGAATTGATGAGGGGAAAAAGAGTGAGTGGTGCACTTAGGAGTCTGTGGAGACAAAGAACTTTGTCCTTGGATGCAAAGAGGGAATGTATGAGAGTATAGTTTTACCAACGCTCTTATATGGGTGTGAAGCGTGGGTGATGAATGTTGCAGCGAGGAGAAGGCTGGAGGCAGTGGAGATGTCATGTCTGAGGGCAATGTGTGGTGTGAATATAATGCAGAGAATTCGTAGTTTGGAAGTTAGGAGGAGGTGCGGGATTACCAAAACTGTTGTCCAGAGGGCTGAGGAAGGGTTGTTGAGGTGGTTTGGACATGTAGAGAGAATGGAGCGAAACAGAATGACTTCAAGAGTGTATCAGTCTGTAGTGGAAGGAAGGCGGGGTAGGGGTCGGCCTAGGAAAGGTTGGAGGGAGGGGGTAAAGGAGGTTTTGTGTGCGAGGGGCTTGGACTTCCAGCAGGCATGCGTGAGCGTGTTTGATAGGAGTGAATGGAGACAAATGGTTTTTAATACTTGACGTGCTGTTGGAGTGTGAGCAAAGTAACATTTATGAAGGGATTCAGGGAAACCGGCAGGCCGGACTTGAGTCCTGGAGATGGGAAGTACAGTGCCTGCACTCTGAAGGAGGGGTGTTAATGTTGCAGTTTAAAAACTGTAGTGTAAAGCACCCTTCTGGCAAGACAGCAATGGAGTGAATGATGGTGAAAGTTTTTCTTTTTCGGGCCACCCTGCCTTGGTGGGAATCGGCCAGTGTGATAATAAAAATAAAAAATAATAATAAATTATAACCCTGTCTTTGGGATTAAGAATGTGTGAAGAATATTCAAACCTATTATTGTACTTGATCAATTAAATCCAGCACTGATACAATTTCAGGGAGATGCACATGTACATGAAGGAATTGATTACGTTAATACTGTACATAACTTCATCCGACATCGATTACATGATATTTTCAACTTGGTGTTGAATCATAGTAAGTCTCATTTAATTTTATGTATTTTAAATAGGATATCATTCATTTTAATTTAATTCCATTATTGCTGTATAGACTTTAATTGCTTTGCCTTTTTTTTTTTAAGCTACTTTGCACATTTACAGCACTTGATTATGTAAATCCAACCATTGCTGGTATGACCTTGCCTCCTCTACCTTCTACCCTACATTTAAAAGTGCTCAGAGTCTTCATAATTTAAAAAAAAAATTCTGAAATGATAGAATTTTTTTTTAAGTGAAGACACTAAAAATATGAAATTTGATGGAAGACTTATTCTGCTGACTTTGAATAATAATATAAGTCAATTCCATTGCTCAACTTGACCAAATTCTTGGCTATTTCACTATGATGCCTTCTGTTTCATGGATTGAGCACAAGAAACTACATATTCAGCTCTCAAAACAACCCTGTCAAGTACATATCAGTCAGTAATTTAGCTAATTTTACACAAAATTAAAAAATGCCAGTTTAAAAAGAGTCCAAAATAAACGATGTAGACATTCCAGGTACTAAAACAACATTTTCTCTATTCATTAATCACATCCCCATGTCTCCTAAAATAATTACACTCGACTTCTATTCTGAATTCATCACACAAGATAAAAAATTTACCATATTTCTCTGATAAAATATTACTGTGACTTCATGGTCATGGTTTATGGCATCCCAATAATTGAATCAATCATAGTAAAAACTTATTAAACAGACTGGGAGCTGTAAAAGGAAGGGGCCTTACCTGTCATCAGGAAAATTGGCAAAAATTTAAAATTTTTGCTACTTTGCGGTTGATTTCAAGCTACTTCCAGTCTTGGAACCAACCAAAATCTTCTCTATTTTAGTTGCACATCTTGCATTCTCTCAAATAATACCAAGTTGTCAATAAAGCCATGAAAACTATCCTAGAAAACACATCAAAGCCTCTATTTGAAACCAAACACAAGGTCAGAGTTGTTCTTTTCCCATCATGCACTGTAGAGGGCAGTTTTTTTTTTTATACTGTGTGTGCACACCTGCAATTTTTTATTTCCATATACATATGCCTTTCTTTCCACAGATACCTTAACACACCACCTACTGTATTCCTCTTATCTATCCTGTTGTTCATAGACCCATCTGCTGACATGTTCACTCCCAAGTATCAGAAGGTATTCACCGTCATACTCCTTCCTACAATCCAGTATTCAGTATTTCATTGCTTAGGCTTAGTTACCCCTATCATCTTCTCTTGTATGTTTTCTTTTAATTTCCTGTTCATACATTCCTTCCCAAATTTGTTTTCCAACCTTTGTAACCTTTCTTTAGTCTCCCAAAAGACATGCCACTGGCAGAAGCCAAGTGCAATAACTCCCACTAATTACCAGATCCATCATTAATCCCACACCTCGCCAACATCTTGGCATTCACTTCCTTTATAATACCATCTATAAATATATTAAGCAACCGGGATGAAATTACACATCTCTTAGTTTTGCTTTCATTGGGATAAAGTCTCCTTACTGCCTACATACTCTTAACCTGCACCTCACTATCCACATAAAAACTTTATGCTCTTCAATAAACTACCACTTATTACATATATTGGCAACAGTTGATACATGGCTTCACTATTCGCCCTTTCATTTGCCTTTTCTTAATTCATAAATGCAGCAAACAGTTCTTTTCCCTTATCTAAGTACTGTTAACTTATGGTTCATTGTAAACATTGACACAAGGGAGCAGTGCATGTTCACTGCCAATCCTTTGGTATCTTCCCTTCTTTCATGTATATACAGTAGACCCTTATGTTACACTGTAGTTACGTTCCTGAAAATGTTGTGTTAGATAAGTCCATGTTACGTAAACTGAAGAACTTGAGAGAAATAGGGCTACGTTCCTGGGACCTACCAAAATCCAAACAACTTTTTTTTAGACATCCTAATCTTACAAAAATAAAAACGATAATTTATTTTTGTTGCTTAACCCTTAAACTGTCCAAACGTAGATCTGGAGATCTTTTTTTTTTTTTTTTTTTTTTTTACATTTGAAAGCGTTTAAAAAAAAAACTGGTTTTCGTTTTTTTTTATGTATTTGAAAATATGTAAAAACACGTAGATCTACTTTTGGAGCACTACACGTGTGAACGTAGATCTGTATTTGGACAGTTTAAGGGTTAAGACTACAAATGCAGCAGAAATAATATTTACTTTAAATTGTGGTTGCTGGTGTATGTCGAAAATAAATGGTATAAAATACCGACACAATGGAAACATAAACACATATGCAGTTTAACGTGATCCTTTATTGACAACGTTTCACCCACACAGTGGGCAACATTCTGAACATGACTATAAATACTCCCGTACCTTCCACCCCAGGTAGATCTGTGTGTGACTTGAAAAAGCCCACTGTGTGGGTGAAACGTCAATAAAGGATCACATTAAACTGCATATGTGTTTGTTTCCATGGTGTATGTCATTGATTGTGAAGAGTGGAGATGCATGATGCCTGCATTTAACCCCTTGACTGTGGCAACCCCAAATCCTGAGGTGTCTCCTGGTGTCGCAAAATTTAAAAAAAAAAAAAATATATTTTATGAAATGATAGAGAATCTTTTCCTGATTGTAACAACACCAAAAGAATGAAATTTGATGGAAAACTGATGGAATTACGCTCTTGCGGTGTTAGCGACTTCGGCGATATTTATGAATTGGCGATTTCGCCAACTTTGAGCCCTATTTTCAGCTAATTCCATTTTTCCAGTCGACCAAACTCATAGCTATTTCTTTAGAACTCCATTTTTTCTATCGATTGAGTACAAGAAACTGTCCATTTACCGATTTCAACTACCCAATAACATGGTCAGAAATTTGCAATTTGGCCAATTTCACGGAAATTAAAAAATATGACAATTTCAAAATTAGGTCCAGAATGAACAGTGCAGACATTCCTGGCTCTAAAATAGCATTTTCTTTGTTCATCAGTCATGTCTCCAGGCCCCTCTGATATTACTCTTGCTTTCTATTTTGAATTTTTATTCAAACAAAAAATAGAAGATTTACTATTATGCAGACTACTGCAATACTGTAATAATTGTATAAATAACATCAACCCATTCATAACTACATATTAGAATGGCTAGTTGGACATTTATTAGACAATGACATCATTTGTTTACTTTTGAACATTGGCAAAAATCAAACATTTCCCATAATTTGAGCTCCATTTCCAGGTTATTTTTATAGTAAAATCAATCAAAATCACCTCTATTTCTATAATATGTTTTCCATTCTATCAAATGTGACCAAGAAAACGAGAATACATCCATAAATACTATACGAAAATATACCACAAAGTCGGCATTTTAATTAAAAAAAAACGGTCGGAGTTTTTTTTTTTCTCGTTATGCACTGCGTGCTCCAGGATTTTTTTTATATGGTGCACACTGACCACACAGACCCATTCTCTCACGTGTAGGCCTACCAGCTTTCTCCTGCTTGATTTGAAGCCGCTAAAATTTATGAGTACATATACATCAAACACAGTACCTTGTAAGACGTATACAATATACGGCTGCGACAGTCAAAGGGTTAATGTAAAATAAGACATTTAGTGTACCCAAGAGTGAGTCATGTATATACAAACGGCCCAGGGGGATGCGTCTGATACGGATGATTTCCGGGACAAGGTACGAAATCCAGACCAATATTTTGCCCCAAACAGTTGTCGAAATCCGAAACATGCAATATTCGGTGCATACAATATCCGGAATTCCACTGTATAAGATTTTTTCCAGTCGTCTAGTTGGAGTGTCAGAAAGAATAACGTTTTCTATAGTTGAACGCCAGAGAAAATGTGTACACATTAGTATTACTGGGGTAACTGTAAAAAATTATTCCTTTCATATGTCTTCACTCAGAGCGTCATTTCTTCTAAAAATGGTGTTACATGAGAATGGAAGTGTTGCTGTTTATTTATTCTACTGTACCAATGTGGAGACAGCTTGTACACAATGTAAACTTTGTGTTTTTTTTTTTTTTTTTTTTTTTTCAACAAGTCGGCCGTCTCCCACCGAGGTATAATACAAACGTGTATGAGCCAAAACCAGACGTGTTTGTCTGTTTACATGCTCTGCATCTCTGTCCTCATTTACTCATTCTCTCTCTTGTTTATTCATTTTATCTCGTTTACTTGCCTTTCGCCTTACATTAAGACTATAAATATTTTAAGGCAAGTAATGAATATACTATATGTATGTATTGCTTTTTTATTGTTTTTAATGCCTAGTTTTATTGCTTGTTATCTTGTTAATACAGTGGACCCCTGATTCACGATATTAATCCGTTCCTGAGAGCTCATCGTAAAGCAAAATTATCGGAAAGGGAATCAATTTTCCCCATAAGAAATAATGGAAATCAAATTAATCCGTGCAAGACACCCAAAAGTATGAAAAAAAAACTTGTACCACATGAAACATGAAGTTTAATGCAATATAATAATTACAATAACAATAGAATAATCACAATAGAATAACTGATACTTACCTTTAGTGAATATCTGGTGATGATTGATGGGATGGGAAGAGGGGAGTGTGTCAAAGTTTTTAATGTTTAGAAGGGGAATCCCCCTCCATTAGGACTTGAGGTAGCAAATCCTTTTCCAGGGTTACTTCCCTTCTTCTTTCAATGCCACTAGGACCAGCTTGAGAGTCACTGGACTTCTGTCGCACAACATATCTGTCCATAGAGGCCTGTACCTCTCGTTCCTTTATGACTTTCCTAAAGTGGTTCACAACATTGTCAGTGTACAGGTTGCCAACGCGGCTTGCAGTAGCTGTGTCAGGGTGATTTTCATCATATTTGTATGCCACTACGATTCTTAAATCTTTCAAACCAACCTTTGCTGGCCTTAAATTCACTCACATCACCACTAGTTGCAGGCATTTTTCTAATTAAATCCTCATGCAAGTGCCTAGCATTTTCACAAATGATCGCTTGAGAGAT